ATTCAAGTGTAATTGGTCCAGGGTATCACCAACGATTCAAGTGTAATTGATCCAGGGGTATCACCAACGATTCAAGTGTAATTGGTCCAGGGGTATCACCAACGATTCCAGTGTAATATTTTTGTAATTCTTTCAGTTTGTTGAAAGGAGCAGAAAAATATGGAATTTCGCTCTGGGTCCGTCTAAGAAGTGTTTTTTTTATTTTCATATTTCTGATTTTATATATTATAAGAATATATGTATACCAGTCTCTGAAAGTATCTTGGATGTTCACTCAAAGAATCTGCCCCAAACGAATGCATCGTTCTTTCTTTCTTTGCTTTTTGTATGACATTTTCGCTAGTAGTTTATCATATATGTCTAAAGCTTACATCAGTTTATATTTCTCTACCTGTTTAAATATTTAAAAAAATAGTAGTTAATTATTACCTGCAGTGATAAAAAATCACATTCGTGTATTTCATACCTCGTCGAAAGAAGGGAAATAGGATCACACTGGTATGATCTCACACATGACGTAAATAGCGTTGAATGTTTCAAAGAAAAAATTGTATGATGAATACTTTTGTCGTTTCAAATGTTCTTCACTCATAAAAAATATTTTTTACAGAAGTTCTACGTCTTAAGTTAGTCACACCTTATAACTGTGCTATAATGTTCACGGAAGTTCTAAGTCTTAAGTTAGTCACATCCTATAACTGTGTTATAATTTTCACGGAAGTTCTACGTCTTAAGTTACTCACACCTCATAGCTGTGCTATAATTTTCACGGGAATTCTACGTCTTAAGTTAGTCACATCCTATAATAAAGGTATTTTTTGTAGTAGCAATTCATAGGTTACAAGCTCATTCAAAAGGTTTTATTTCATTAAACCTAAAATAAAAATAAATATATATCTCGAATATTGTTTTGAAATTAGAATTACACTTTTCAAAATTAAACAACAAGACTCAGGAGACATGTTCATTGTTGAGATTTAATGTTGAGGAGAAATTAGGTTTAATATTTAAGTGCTCTGTCATTTTTTCTTAACTTACCAGCATCATGTTTCTACACTTTTAAAATTTATTCATCAAGAAACAGTGCATGTATAGCGCTGGGTATTTTATTTTTGACTCTTCTTTGAAATAATTTCTCGCTTGTTTCGCCACATCGTCTTTATAAAGGTCACATTATCATAATTACTGACCACATAGAGAAAGGGTACAAACCACTTTGAACAATCCTGTTTTAGATATGTTGTTTTATAACGTCATTAGTATTTGTCTGTTGTACTTTCCTTATTGTTGTAGTTAAGTTTAGTGTCTGAACATTAGCTTCTAAATACGACGTTATTGTCAGCCATCAGTTGTACATGTCATCAAACAACATATAATTATTTTGTTGAATACAAAGTTCTGTTCTTAACATTTCGATTGTTATTTTTTATTATAGAAACATAGTTAATAGCCTTAATAGTCATTAAAAGTTAATAGGAAAATGTTATCAAATAACACACTTGTGCGATGATGTACACGATATAACGCACTATATTTTTACTAAGTACTTTACTTTCAACTGTTTATATTTAAATTATACATGTTTGTGTATGTATACAAAAAAATTCATTTGATTTAAGAAAGCAAGAAAACATACGTGTTTTCAAGTCGTTTTTCTAGAGTTTATAGGGCGTATTATGTATACATAACTTCCTAAAGTTTGTCAAAATACAAAGCTTAAATTAGTGAATTTTATCATGATTTGAATCATTTGTAGACTAACCATCTTAAACTGTTCAGAATATTAAGCACACAGACCATGAATCTAACTTTACATTAGATTTATTACTACTTCATATTAAGTTAAACGTATTGACTTATTGTTTAGGCATTTGTTGAGCTTCTCGTTTCAAAATGATTCATTTGAAGATTATTTAGAACTTCTTTACAGAACAGAAATTTCAGGAAGAATTTATAGAACTGCAAAGAATATTAATACTGAGGTTGATTCTTGGAAATAATATATTGTTTTACCTTGGACTTTCCGGTCGAAATTAGCACACTCACTTGAACTGATATAAAATACGAAGACAGTGTTTTCAGATTGATAACACCTGGGATAATGTAAAAACACATGTTATAAAGTTTATTACAACTTTGCTTTACGCTACAAAGAAAAATATAGAAACTTATATTAGGCAGTTCCAGCATAATGTCTAGGCTCGGCAATTGGACTCGCAATTGGAGGGTCGCGGGGTCGAATCCCCATCCCACCAAACATGCCGTGGGGGCGTTATAATGTGATGGTCACTATTCGTTGGTAAAAGAGTAGCCCAAGAGTTGGCGGTGCGTGGTGATGACTAGCTGCCTTCCCTTTAGTCGTTCACTGCAAAATTAAGGACGGCTAGCTCAGATAGCCCTCATGTAGCTTTGCGCGAAATTCAAAACAAACAAACATAATGTCTATAGAAGTCGTACTATTCTCATCAGTAGTACGGTGAATGGTTCCCAGTCAGAAATGCCAATGAAAAACAGGTTGAAATTAAGTTAGTGGGAAATGAGATTGCGACAGATTGAAACAGAATTTTGTATTTTAATAGAAGTTGTATAGAAACTCTGAAGAGGGGAAGCGAAATATAACTGTTGATGATATAACTGGTCGAAATGGGAAGTAGTT